TCTTCTTGTGTTTAGTGGTGAAGTATCAAATGGTTGCTTTTTGTTCTGTTTTGTTTTGTTTTGTTTGTTTCTTCCCAGGAGGGGAAGTTGTTGGATGGCCTAGGGGTTTACAGCATGAACTTTTGGAATCATTCTGCCTGGGTCCAAATCCTGAGTCCAGTATTTATAAACTGAGTTAACGTGGGCAAGTTACTCAACCTCTTTGGGACTTCAGATTTTAGGTTTCATGGGTTTAAGGATTGTATCTTTCATTCATTTATTTTGTCAGTCTTTATTGATGTGTTCAATACATTTGAATTTATTGCTTGCATATCTACTAAGTACAGGGCACTATTCTATTTGCCTTCGATTGGCCAGATACTGACTGTACTAGAAGGAGAATCCATATTAAACATTTTAGTGGTACCAACATTATTTACCATGTACCACTACCATCAGACTGCTGAGTTAAATGGAGATCTGATTAGGAATGGAGCCATGGTGGTGCAGTGGTTAAGAGCTCAGCTGCTAACCAAAAGGTTGGCAGTTTGAATCCACCAGCTGCTCTTTGGAAACCCTGTGGACAGTTCTACTCTGTCCTATAGGGTTGCGATGAATCAGAATCAGCTCGACAGCAAAGGGTTTGGTTTTGGTTTTGGTATGATTAGGAATACAACCTTGGCATAAGGTTAAGTCTTAGAAAGTAGTGTCTTTCCATTCTCTTCTATCACACTTGGGATGTTTCTGAGATACTGTCATGTTTACTCCCTACCAATCCACCTCTTCTTTTACTATGATGCTGAGAAATCATTACTTTTTGCCTGTTAGCACCAATACCTTTGGCAGTAATCTGATGACCTTTTTCTTAACCACACTAGTCAGTTACTACATAACAAATCATGTCAGTATTATAGAACAATCCATAAAATGTGTAACCTTCCTGGAGGGGGATGATGGAGGCAGTACTCAAGCATCCATTGCCATAAGTGCCCATCATTCCTCTGAGATAAAGGACACCCTTGCTCATACCCTCTTTGGTGTCATAATTACCTTATGCCATTAGGTATTCTGTCCACATGTCTTCTCTCTGTGTGTCTCTTTCTCACAAGTACACACACACCTGACCTCAGAAACAAAACAAAGCAAAACAAAACAACATCCATAATAATAAAAAAGAAATAAGGCAAAGAAAAAGAGCTCATGAAAAGAGATCCCTGATAGCTTGCTCAAGCTAGTGGTCATATATTTATTACATATATGTTCATTCCATAAAAATGTACATTTAAAAAATGCTTCAAGATATTAAGGAATAGATCTGCCACCTATTTCTTGAGCTCTTTCATCCTACCCATCTTCATGTAAAATGACAGAGACTTACTTTAAATTTTGATTCTGTGTGTTTACTTCCAATAATGCTGTGGTGATGCTGTTACAGGCAGTTGCTCCACCCAATAAGCTAGGCTATTCTCAATAAGCTCTGGCTGGAAACGGCTGCACTCTTCATCCCAGGAGCAACTGTGCTGGGCTGCAGTTTACTCCTTCTGACTCATGTGAGCATGTCCTGCCTAGGTTTCTGGTCTATCCTTTCTTCTTTCATTTATCTATTTATTTATTCAACAATATTTATTGAGCAACTACAATGTGCTAGGAATGGGTTGGATATTGGGAATAGAATGGTGAGTACATTCGTTTCCTTAGTTTAATGCTTCTATATTGGTGGAGACAATGATCTCTCCTGGTGGTAGGATGAATTGCACCATGGTTAGGGAGCCTACCAAACAGGAACACTAACCATCGGCTAGAAAAAAGGATGTTACAATATTTCCCCAACAATCCTTAGGGACTCTTGTCCTTTAATCCCTTCATGCCTGTTATGGTGTAGTCAGTGACTCCACATACTAGTGCAGCATGAGAATTTCCTGGAAAGTTTTTAAAAGTTCTCCTATTTACATATACTGAATGCTCCAGGAATTTTTGTCAGAGACCTAGTCTTTAAAAAAAAAAAAAAAAGATGACTTTCACGCAGCCAGTCAAATTTGGTATTTGTATAACATGGACACTGCTCATGTTATAGTTTTCGTTTGTTTGATCTCTACTAAATATATACTGTGGGTAAGACTCAGTACTATGTGTAATGGATCTACAAAGTCTTGATGCTAGGAGTGAGCTTTACATGTCAGCTTCAGACTCCTGTAAACCCTGTGACCATTAGTGATCAAGACTATTGGGCATCCTACTGCCCTTTTCCCTCTTGATTGTTATTTTCAGGAATATTTCTGGTGTCATCCAAGAGCCGTAAGTATTTGGATATTTGACATGGTGAGTGTATTTGTCAAAGCTGAGTTCTAGGAAAAGAAACAATACCAGATATTTCAAGCAGAGAGAGCATTTAATAAAGGGGATTTGATGCTTAAAAAAATCTTTTGAGAGGATGGAGGAATGGACTTCAAGAATGCATCAAGGAAACTGGGATCCATAGGGCAGGAAGCTGCTGCTAATCTTCTGTTCCTGCCACCACCACAACTGCCTCTTATACTCTGAAATTGATGACTAGACAGTGGAATCCTTAGTCCACCCATGGTCACCGTATCTACCCACTCATGTCTCTTTTTCCTTGCTTGTCAGTAAAGAGATATTCTTTGGCTGACTTCTACTTTCCAAATCTCCCATGAATATATCTGATCTGCATCCATAATTCTAGGTGCAAAGGCATCTGGGAAATGTAGTTTTGAGCTTCCTAACCTCTTCAATTAGAAGGGCGGAATGGAATTTAAAAGACAATCCATAGTACATACCAGAAAAGACCACAGGATGATTTAAGTGCTTTTTGCTTTTTAGGAGGGTTTCGTACTTATGGTGGAGCTTTGGGATGTGCTTCATGGGTATTTGCTCAGTCTTCATACTGCCGTGGCTCCAGCTGCCTTTCTAATTGGTTATCTCAGGTACCTGGTTGCTATACTAGGCTATGAATGAGTCCTACATCTCACTTGGCTATTTTCCTTGGGAAAACAGCATCTTTTTCTTTGGGAGGTGGGGAGCAGGGGCAAGGAACTCAGGTAATTCACCAGTCTCTTACTAAAGACAATATCTAATTCAATTACCGGTCTCCAGTGCCTCCATACAGATGTTGTGTGCTGTCAAGTCATTTTTTGACTCATAGCAATATCATGTGACAGAGTATAACTTCCCCATAGGGTTTTCTATGCTATTATTTTTAAGAGAGTAGATCTCCAAGACTTTTCCCGCAGAGTCACTGAGTGGGTTCGCACAACGGTTGGCAGCTTAGCGTTTAACAATTGCACCACCTTGCTGCTGTACTAGTCCCTCAGTAAACGTTGTAATTTCAAATAAATTTTAAAAATGGATGAATGAAGTATTCATTCAGCAAAGTTTGGTCTATATTTTCCTTCCTTCTTCTGTCCACAGTCTAGTCTGGGCCCAAACAGCCTAAAAGTATGGTTGATGACTTATGAAACAATTCTTAATTATTCAATATTAAACCATATTCCTTACATAAATAGTAATGTCAGCATATACATTATACTTTGTCTCTTTTGCATAAATGCTAACAGCGGCTAATCAGTCTCAGGCCAGGACCTAGCGCAAATGTGTCCGCCTCACATCAGCCTCAGAGATTTGGCTGTTTGTCTGTTTGTCACAGAGCTCATTTCCCTCACCCCAGCATTGATTGTACAATACTACATAATTCTCTATTTTGCTTCCCATTTCCACGGTGCCCACTTAGATTTTCCAGTATGTAGAAATCTCCTTCTTAACTGGAGCTCCAACTTTCCCTTTCTACCTCTCAAGCCATGCTCTGACTACTTCGTTAATGACTCTTCAGCAGTGTTTCTTGGTCCTGGTCCACAAAGATACTTGAACCTTCCCTGGGATAAAAGGTTTTTTCTTTTAGAAAGGAAGTCTTTTCTGGGGAGATATAGGTATTCCTACATTGACTTCAAGGTATTCTTTTTCTCTTCTCTTAAAATTTATGTTGGATATTGGATTTGAAAAACATATCTTCTTCTCTTGCCCAATTCTCCATAGGCATTACTTAACATTGCATTTTCTGGACAGTTCATTAGAACAGCTGATATTACTTGGATGTGAGATTTGTTCTTTTTTCCAGCTACCATGAAGTCTTCAGAATTCAGATAGGAATTCCCTAATCTACTCTCAATCTAAGTACCAAAGTTTCTTTGTCAACAGTTTCTCTTCCTGATTCAAAGGACTCTTGACTTTCCTTGGATTTCCCTGGAGTTTCTGTAGTTTAAAGCTACTTGTCTGAACTAAAACAATTGGTATGCCTTTTTATGAAAGAATTGATACTTTTTCAGTTATTATATCCATCTACATTTTAGATTCTCTATCTCTTTTGGAGAGAGAAATATAAAATGTTTGCAAGAGTTCCCTTTTCCTAGGCAAGAAAGAGATAGATTCAGAATAAACAGGGTAACTAAACAGAAATAAATATTTCCAAATGCTAGAAGATGTCACTAAAACGGGAAAATTAGGGAAAAAGCATAACTTCAGTATGATACTTCTTATAGCAATGAGTTTATTTTATATTCAATTTTGTGCAGTAATTTCAAGAATGTATGGAGAGTCTTATTGTAGACAATTTAAGGAACTGGTTTATAAATGGAGAATTATGAACTTTGTTTTTAATGTCGATTATATGCAAATAAATGTTTTACTACTCTTTAAGAATGTATTGGAAATACACTTCAAACAATTAAATAGTTTGCAAACTTAATATGTCCCTCTTAATATTATGAATAATCTTGATAAAATCCTTCTTCATGGGTAGTGTGAGATATACTTCTCAAGCTATATTCCAGGAAAAATTAGTCCCAGGTGATGTTCTTACTCTATTTCCCACATTCTAAGATCTTATTTATTGTGTGAGGTAGAACTAATTTAACATGTGGGCATGCTTCCAACTTAAGAAATGTTTAAAAATTTTAAAGCATCTATGCTGTTTACTTTGTTGTGATAAATTTTAATAATTTGAGTCCAGTCTAGAACTTCTTTCCCATCACTTTTAGAGCTTCTTTGACCTCCTTATTTCTCAAGCTATAGATCAGGGGGTTCAACATGGGGATTACAATGCTATAAAATGTGGACACCACTTTCATATTTTCCTCAGAATTTTTAGAGTGAGGCTGTAAGTACATGTAAGAGAGAGTCCCATAGAAAATGGTGACTGCTGTCAGGTGGGAGGCACACGTGTTGAAGGCTTTTTTTCTCCCAGCAGTAGAAGACATCTTTAGGATGGCACCCAGGATGTATATGTAGGAGAAGATGACAACCAACACAGTGAACATCAAGTTAAATCCCACAAAGACAGCAAGTAGCAAGATGTTGACTTTGATACTGGAACATGAAATGGAGAGAATTGGGGGACCATCACAGAAAAAATGATTGATGATATTGGACTTGCAGAAGGACAGTGAAAATGTAAAACCCGTGTGTATGGAGGCATTTATTGAGCCTACTACATATGAACCTGTTACTAATTGGATGCAGACTGTTTGAGACATGACAGCGGAATAGCGAAGTGGGTTACAGATGGCTACATACCGGTCCACTGCCATAGTAGCCAGGAGGTAACAGCCAGTAGTCGCAAATGTTGCATAAATCAATGCTTGCACAACACATCCCATGAATGATATTGACTTATTTTCTACTATGAAGTTTTGCAGCATCTTGGGAGTAACAGCAGAGGTATAACAGATATCAACAAAAGCCAAATGTTGTAGGAAAAAGTACATGGGTATTTGAAGTCTGGAATCTGTCTTGATGAGTAGGATCATTCCAATATTACCCACCATGGAAGTCACATAGATAACTAGAAATACAATGAAGAGGACATACCAAAACTTGTGTTGTCCACCAAATCCAAGGAGAAAAAATTCCATCACTTCTGAGTCATTTCCTTGTGTCATGGCTACCAAAAGTCTAGGAAGGGCCAAGAGAAGAATCAAGAAAAGAAAGGAAATCTTTGTGATGTCTTGAAATAAAAAGGCTCTTATGTTTCAGGTCATCTTTTTGACTTGGATTTTCATGACAAGCACTCACAATAGTGTTTATTGATTTCTCAATTTTTTTTTTTGTATTGTTGGCAGGACACCACCAGGTAAGCAGTGATACTTGAGCAATGAATTCATTTTCAAAATAAGAAGATTGTCATAGAAGATGATGATTTATAATATGTGCGATTCTAAGAAACATTAATTGCTACACTTTTCCTTTATAGCAAACAAGTATCCATATTTGCATAAAGCAATATTCAAATATGATTATGCATCTTTTCAACAACCAATAGTGTTTCTCAGGCATTTTCGTTTTAATCATAGTCCAAGCTCTTGTAAAATAAAAATGATTTTTTTTTAATTTTAGGGTAATAAATGGAATTTTATAATCAATCATTTCAAAGGAAGACAAAAAAATTGGTAATAGAGAATAATAGAGAAAAATGAAATGAATAGAAATCACATGAAATGGCATAAATAAGTCCGTGTCTTTTAGCTAGGAAAATAAATTTAAGTGGACTAAACTCACTATTAAAATTCAGAAATTGTCAGACTGGATTTAAAAAAAATGAAGACGTTTGATATAATAGAAAAAAATTGGAAACAAAATGAATGACTAATGATTAAACAAACTATGGTATATAAAAGAGTAGAACATGGTGTGGCAATGAAAATGAATTCACTAGAGCTACACTTACCAACCCAAATCTTAAAATCATTGTGTTGAAGAAAAGAGCTTACTGACTAATTATAGTAAAATGTAATATTGGGGCTTCAGTGATATTGATGATAGTTTACATGGTAGCTATTTGGAAGCTACTCAGTTTAAATCCACCAGACGCTCTTTGGAAAACCCTATGAGGCAGTTCGACTCTGTCCTTTAGGGTCGCTGAGTCAGAATCAACTCTACAGCAACAGGTTTGGTTTTTTTGATTTAGTGTTCACTAAAAGGATCCCCGGTGGCCCAGTTGTTAATCGTTCAGCTGCTAACCGAAGGGTCTGTGGTTTGAACCTATCAGCCACTCCGCAGTAGAAAAGACTTGGTGACCTGCTCCTAAAAATTGCAGCCTAGGAAACCCTACAGGGCATTTCTACTCTGTCATATAAGGTCGCTATGAGTCAGAATGGATTTGACGGCATACAACAGTAACCACCGTTCATTATATATGTATACCTTTTTATCCCTAACTATTAGATATTTCTTGAATGTACTTTAATCCCTTAAATTGCTTTTAAAGCACAGTTTACAAATATGCTATGTCTCAGCAAGTCAAAACACTGCAGTTTTAACTCTAGCACTGAAACAAATTGGGTTGTTTGGTTTTAAAATGCTAGATTGGTATTCATTCCCCAGGATATACAGCTGCAGCAGTTCAATAAACAAAAGGAACTAAGGAGACTGATTTCTTCATAAGGCTGAAGAGGGAGTTAGTCCACTGAAGCAGTTCCTGAAATGTTTTTTATCAGCAATAATGAAACAAATGTGCATACCCCCAAGGAGTCCACACTGAAGGACTACATTCATTTGGATCTATGAGCTCAGGTGCCTTGAACAATGAAAATGGTCCCAAAATTCAACAAAGCTCAAAATAATAGAGCAGTTTTATTAAGTCAAAGTCACATTTGTTTTACAAGACATTAGAGAAATAGAGTGTCACCATTGTTAGGGCTAAAAAATGTCAATTCAATTGGAAAAAATATTATGTAAGTTGTAATTTATATGCAGACACTTAGAGTCCATAATGGTAAGTTATATCCACAGTACTCAAGATATTTAGGTTGATTGTGCTAAAAAGTCAGAGTTAATAGTGTCCAAAGGGAGATGCAATCTGATGTTGATACCAGGAAAGAGCTTACCTGGTTAGGGGATATAGAAAGCTTTCCTGAACTAAGTGGTTGCACGTTTGGTTTTAGGAAGGCGATTGGGATTGTACCAGGTGGATATCGGCAATGTCAAGGAAAGCAACTCCAAGCAGAGGAAAAAACTTGAGCAAATACACAACTAAGGGTGAGAGGCAAAAGAGACTCACATTTATATACAATTAACCCTGTGTTGCTCTAATTAGCAGCAGTTTCTACATTGGAGCACAAATGACATTTCCTGTACCCCTTGTAAAGGAGAAACCCTGAAGCCCCTTTGACCAAAGTAAAATGGCTGAACTAACCTGGATCCCTGCTATATTCAGCAAAATCAAATTGAGACTTTTGACAATGTACATCTTTGAGTCTTTTCTCTGGTCAGCAACCATGGGTAAGTAGGGAGATGTTTTATCTGCGGTCAAGCTGGAAGAATGTCGATAAACATTCTCAAGGTCTACCAAAGCCTTTTCTACCAGATGGCCTCAAGAAATCTTTCTTCTAAGAAAATATTCTACATCCTACTTTGGAAAGTGGCCAACATAGGGTCTTTAAAGCTTGTAAGCAGCCGTTCTAAGATACTCCACTGGTCCCACCCCATCTGGAGCAAGGGAGAATGAACAAAATCAAAGACACAAGGGAAAGATTAGTCCAAAGGACTAATGGACCACAATTACCACAGCCTCCACCAGAGTAAGTCCAGAAGAAATAGATGGTACCTTGTTACTACCACTGACTACTCAGACAGGGATCACAATAGAGGGTCCTAGACAGAGCTGGAGAAAAATGTAGAACAAAATTCAAACTCTCAAAAAAAGACCAGACTTACAGATTTGACAGAGACTGGAGAAACCCCTTGAGTATGGCTCTCAGACACCCTTTTAACTCAGTACTGAAGTCACTCCTGAGGTTCACCCTTCAGCCAAAGATTAGACAGGCCCACAAAACAAGCAATAATACATGTAGCTCAACCATCTATGTGAGATTAAATGGGCACACAAGCCCAGGGGCAAAGACGAGAAGGCAGAAGAGGACAGGAAAGTTGGATGAATGGAAATGAGGAACCCAGGGTCAAAAAGGGGAGAATGTTGACATGTCACGGGATTGGCAACCAATGTCACAAAACAATATGTGTATTAATTGTTTAATGAGAAATTAATTTGCTTTGTAAATCTTCAAAAAAGAAATCAAACGATATATTGCATTGGGCAAATCTTCAACAAAAATAAAGAAGACTTTCTTCCATGATAAAGATGCAGAAGCAATGTCTCAGGGAAAAGACCTTGCCACCACTCTGATCTGAGTCTCCCTGGAAACCCCTTACATGAAAGGTTTCATTTGCGAAATCTGTTCTAAGAGAGGAGTGTCCTGTAACCCCCACCCCACTGTAGCCCCTTCCCACCGCATACCCCTGCAATTATCACACTGTAGACAATCTAGGGAGAACACATATGTACTCCAAACCAATCCCCTTCTAGCAACCCCCTTCCAGTAAACCCACCTTATGTTGATCTAAGTTTGTTATCTCCAATCAAACGATGTAACTTAGCTTCTTTGTTCTAACTCCTTAAATATGTGTCCTCTGCTCCTCCGTTTTGCACCCATTTTGTTTCACTCTGGTGGACCTGTGGCTCCCCATTCGAATGTACTCATGAATGCTTAATAGAACCTCTGTATTTTAAATGATTCCAGATCTGGAGACTCCTCTCTGTGACACCTTTTCAGGAATATTCTTAAGTAAAGCACACTTTGCGTCTAGACCTGACTTCTCCCTTTCCCACAGTGTTAGCCGTAACTAAGACAGATTATTTCACTCAAAAGACTTTTACTGAGTATGAACAACATTCGAGGCATTGTTTTAGGTGCTGAACGCCAGAAGTACTCCCCACTCACCCCTGCAGCAGATCCTGCTACTCTGTTTCCACTTTTAATTTCCTGAAGGTGAAGTGCTACAAAGAGGCAAAGATAAAATGCTTGATATATTTCTCTGATATCTAGACTTGGATTTTTCTTCCAGACACTATAGAATATGTGTCTGCTTAGGAAAAATACAACAAGAGCTACTTCTCTGAAATCATATTTATGTTAAAATATCTCTTTCTGTACCTCCTGCAGGTTGATGGCTCCCAAGGTGATATTTTTGCACTTACAACAAATGAAGGTTTACTTCTTGAGGGCTGTGGGATTACGAGTGGATCTCCTGAGGATCTCAGACTCTGGGGGCTGAGTTGTATACATAGAATTGAGACTCCCATGTGAGACCATATTATTATTATTTTAATTCCAAGTTTCTGGACCTTAGGGACTCTGCATCTTGTTTACTTCTATGATCTTAGGGACCATCTGTCCCAGCCTGGGGCTAAACTTGGATTCTGGAAACCTGGTTTTGAATCCTGGGTCTTCCACTTTCTCTAAACCTGAGAGTCTCCTTGTCTGTAACATGGGGCTAATGACACCAAACATGGCTGCCTCAGTAGTGCTGAAAGAGCAAATGAGGGAATACACCCGTACATACCTGTAGGACTGGGAAGGGATTTGACAGGAAATAATTATCATTGTCAGAAGGCTTCTCCAAATCTGGGTGCCCCTCTTTCACTGCTGCTGCTGTCATCATTGGCACATACCTCAAGGACTCTCTAAGGACTGTTACAGTCTGGACTTGCAACGTGAGCTCTGTACCTAACAGGGAAGACATTCACAAGTGTTTCTAATTTGATTAACTCCATATAGAGAAAGATAGCTGCCATCGAGTTGACTCCAGCTCATGAGGACCTCGCGTATATCATCAGAATGAGATGTTGTTTGGTCCCGAGTATTTCTCTGGGTCACTGGCATGTTCAAGTCCATCACTGTGTCTGCTTTGTCAGTCTATCTCACCTAGGGTCTCCCTCACCTCGCTGGCCCTCCATTCACCAAACAGTGATTGATGCCTCCTGATGATGTGTACAAATCCAGAAGGACAATATTCTGTTATGACCTATAAGATTTTCATTGCCTAATTTTTGGAAGTATTTTGCCAGGCCTTTCTTCCTAGTCTGTATTAGTCCAGAAGCTCT